CCTGGAGATGGAGCTTTGCCCAAGGAAGGTGCCAAGGGACGAGTCCTGTGCCAAGGGGCAGCAGAGGAGAGGGGGATCCTTCTTCACCTGCAATTTTAAGGGTATCATTTGAAGGAAAACCTGCCTTTTCCATGATTTTAGGGGCATCAGTTAACAGGGAATTATTATTTTCCAGTTTAAATGGAAGGGGGAAACCTTTATGATGCCATTTTATGCATTTGAATTGAGGGCAAACCCACATTTTCACCATCTTAAGGTTTAAATTGAGGAGGAGCCCCCCTTTTTCCATCATTTGAGATATTTAAATTGAGGGGGAAAGGGCGGAAAACGTGAGGGGGAAAAGGGCGAGAAAAGGGAGAGAAAAAAGTGTGGGAGAGGTGAGGGGAGAAAGAGTGGGAAATGTGAGGAGGAAAGGGTAGGAAACGTGAGGGGGAAAGGGTGGGAAATGTGAGGGGAAAAGGGTGGGAAATGTGAGGGGGAAAGGGCAGGAAAAGTGATGGGAAAAGGGCAGGGAAAGAAAAGGGCAGGGAAATGGGAAAAGGGGGAAAAGGAAGGGGGAAAAGGAAGGGGGAAAAGAGAGGGGGAAAAGGGTGGGAAAAGTGAGAGGAAAAGGGCAGAAAATATGAAGTGGAAAAGGTCTGCAAAAGGTAGAGAAAAAGGCAGGAAAGGGGAGGGGGAAAAGGAAGGAAAGGTGAGGTGAAAAAGGGCAGGAAAAGGGAGAGGAAAAAGGCAGTCTGACAGTCTAGCAGGAAATATTCTTTGTCATGAATTTGTTCATTTCAAAATAGCTTTACAGGCACAGAGTTTCTGTGCTATCATGTGGAGAACGTCTGCCTTAATTCAGAAAACTCAGGGCCCAAGGTCCTGATATTGGGCACCTGTAGGAACTTTCACAACTTCTAGAGAGGCTATAAAAGAGAAATCTTACACATTTGTGCTTCAGAACAGGTTTGGATTCGGGGTCAGTGAACAAGAGGAAACTCCAAATTTTGCTCTTACCATTAAAATAATCACAGAGCTGAAGCAGTTCCCACCTGCTAAGGCTGTGGTTTCCAGCTCGGTCAGCAGGTGTCAGTGCCACACACGCAAAAACACACACGGGCAAATTCGGAAACCAGAAGCTTCAAGAAAAAACGACAGCACCCCTCTTTTCTCCCTGCTGTCAAGATGCAGCGGGTGGAAAAGGGGAGAAGTGAATGTGTTTCAGAGGAAAAACGTTCCTGAGAAACATTCAAAATTCCCGTGTCCCACCTACGATGAAACAGCAAAACTGGGTAATGACAGATTCGGGGCTGACATACACAGTTGCAGTCTGAATTCTGGAAAGCTTTCATTCATTCTTTGTGAAAACATGCATTCTCACCTTCCCTTCTCAGACCAGTGCCCCCTCCACCTCCAGACAGTTAAAAAGTATATGGTGTTTAGATTGATAGGCTAATTCTAGGTCTTCCTCTACTGAAAACTAATTAAGGACTGACTCATTGCATTTCAGCCCAGTTTATAGTACAGTTTACTAATACCAGGGTTTATTTTGCAGCACTGTACATTTTCTAGTGTGGTCAATGTAAAGGAAGTTTGTGAGCTAACCACTATTTAAACTATCTTTGACCTAAAACTCAATTGTAAGTCCCGCCCCAATGTGTAGTTGGGTACATGAATGCTACACCTCTAACTACAATTTCCTCATGCAATATTCATAGCTGCAGCACGGTTTAAAACCAGTTTAGCTCCTGTGAATGCCCTGGTGTGACCATACAGGTTTAGCAAGGCTGTCTGAGCAGCCAGCTGAGTACAGCACCTGTAACACCTCAAATGAGGGCACTTGAAACATTGGTAGGAAGGTTTATTCTCTGCTGGCTGCAAAGCTTCATACACCTGCTCTGAATGATCCAGACCTGTGGCCAGGTTTGCACTCCTTTCACAAACATTTGGGGAATGGCTGTTTTTCAAAACCCACTGGCAATCACACGTGGCTATAGCTGAATAAAGCAGGGAAACCTGGTATTCCTAGCTTTTAGGAATTGTTTCACATCTTTACAATATGACTACTTGTCTGCCTGTGTTTCAGGTCAGTTAATTATGTAAAGCACACAAACCCCACAGAGAGAATTCTTAACATGTGTTTAACCAGCAAATGTTGTTGAAGCCCTGATGTCTGAAAACTTTTCTTTTTTTTCCCCAAGTAATTTAATAAAAGAGAGTAGCACTCTCTGCAAGTCTAGCCTGCAACATAGAAATGGGAAGACTTTTGGGTGACCTAATTGTGGCTTTCCAGTACCTGAAGGGAGCCCACAAGAAAGATGGAGAGAAATTATTCACAAGGGCCTGGAGGGACAGGACAAGAGGAAATGGCTTCAAACTGATAGAGAGGAGGTTTAGATCAGATATTGGTAAGAAATTCTTCCCTGGCAGGGTGGTGAGGCCCTGGCACAGGTTGCTCAGAGAAGCTGTGGCTGCCCCATCCCTGGAAATGTTCAAGGCCAGGTTGGATGGGGCTCTGAGCAACCTGGGACAGTGGAAGATGTTCCTGTCCATGGCAGGGGAGTTGGAACTGGATGATGTTTAAAGTCCCCTCCAACCCAAACTGGTCTGTGATTCTATGACATTGTTACACAGAGTAGTTCTGCTGTCAGCATTAAAATATACATGAGGCTTTCCATGATGTGCAGGGGATCACATTGATTCCTTTGCACAACTCTTGTGTTGAATACTTCCAAGCTCTCAACACACTAATGAAAGGAAAAAGTTGAAGCAAACCTGCTCTGTAAATGCAATACTCAATTTTTGTTTCATCTTTGTTCCATGGTGCCAATCCATGAGCACACACGCTTCCTCAGGCTGTTGAGGAATTCCGAGAAGAGAGTGAGTGATGTGTGAAAGACAGACTGGCATCAGAGGAAAAACATGATTATGAATTGGCACAATACAGACCTCAGATGCCTGGCTGGGAACAAAAGGTACTCTAAAACCCTGGAGCTCAACACTATGCTGGCAGTGTACATCTCCATTAGCTCTTCCTGCCCTGGCTTTATTCCTAGGGGACCATTCTGCAAATGAATTGTCTTTCCAATTATTTTTTCTAAAACCATGGCCCACCTGGGAACACTAAGGGAAGCTCAGATTGGATCAGAGCTCTTGCAACTTTTTCAATATGCAAACCAGTAAAAAGAGTCAGTGAAAGTATTGACCCTTTTCTATGAATTAGCCAACAAAACAGCCTTCCTGGGCTTGCTTTGCTTAGTTGGTGATACACCCACATACCCATGTGCTCATCCACATGTAGAACCACAGATCCCACTTTGAAAACAGGTTTTCCTGATGGCTTTCTCTGAAGGCAGCCATTGCCAAACATTTCAGAGGTATAAAAAGAGGTGACTTTGATGACACATGTCAATAGAGGAAGCTTCTTACTAATCTGAGGCAGTTAGAAAATGACTCATTCTTAAGAATATGAACATATATTTCTCATATCCCTCTGTCTGTTATAGTAAATGTAGATATCAGCCAGGTATACAAAATCTTTTTCAACCTCCTCCTGCATCCTGACCTCGTTTAAACATTGCAGTGTCAAAAAGCAGCACCCCCCAGGCTGACTGCACACAAACCCAACACTAGTCCTTGCTGTGAATTTTCATTTGTCTGCTTCTTCATTTGTGCACCTGATTTGGAAAGGCCTTGGAAATGCTTTTTTTAGAAGAGAGAAAACAAACCTGTTATGCTGTGAAAGGAATATGCAGGGATGGGGAATAAGGGCGACGGAAGCGCACTTGCAACGCTCATGCTGCAAGCTCTCTGCAGAGCTCTGCTGTCAGTGTTCAAGCCTACTCTCCTGCCTATTTTTAGGAACTGCCCTCCCTAAAACCTCCTTTTTAACTGTAGCACAGACCAAAAAGGTGGAGCACTAATGAGTCAAAATGTTATACCCTTGCCTTTTTCTCTAAGCAATAGTTTTACAGGAATTTGTCCTTTTTAAGAGGATTTTTTATTGTGGCACCCATATTTAAGCAGCAGCCTTGCAGAACTGCAGGCAGCTGAGTCATCCTGGAGGCTGCACAGGTTTGGTATAAAAAGAAGGGTTTTTTTAAAAGAAAATAGGGATACAGAGTGTTTTCAGCAGGGTTATGGAACAACCGGTATCTAAGCAGTGAAGGTGCTGTAAGTCAGGCTATAACAACCAAGCAGGACTTTATATTTTCAATATTCTCAGCAGCATGATCAGCTCCTGGTATTTGAAGTCGTTAAGCAGTCCTTAGTTCTAGAAATAGTGCAATTTTATTAAGATTGTTTTCAGTTTTCTCCCTTAGTTTGACTGTTGATAAGATTTATCTGGGCATTTGTCAGTTTTGATACCTTTCCCTTGCAGAGGGATCATGATCACCTGAAGTGTTTGGAGAGTGTTTTGTTGTTCCTGTGTTACTTACATAACTCAGGGTGAAGAAAAGAGAACAAAACAGGAAAGAAAAAAAGAACCAGAAATCCTTTTTTAGAAACTCCTTATTCCACTACTGTTTATTTTCAGTCTCTCTTGATTATTTTTTGCAGATATTCCATTTCAATTGTATACTGCTAAACAGAAGATGCATAAAGGAGCAGGATCATTGCTGTTAAGTAAAACAGACCCATCAAATTGAAAGACATAGGTTTTTTTCTTCTTAAAACCTATTTGATTCCTGCAGTGTTTTACCTTTATGATTAATTTGCCTTATTCAGCTAATTACAGAGCAGTCTATTCAAAGCTTTTGTCATTAACTGTATAAGCTAAGTTTGTAAGCATTTTCTGTGCTGATATACTACCATACCAATAGTATATGTATTTCAGAAGCAGTTTAGAAATATTATGTTATCTTCTGTGCTTCCGTGGTATGGTTTTGTTTTTTGCTATTTGATTTTCTTTTTTTTGTTTGTTTTTGTTTTGTTTTGTTTGTTTATTTTTTTCCCCACAAAAAAAAAAAAAAAGGCAGAATGGGCATTGAGAGGAGAAAAAAATAATCTGCAGCTTATCGCTTTCCTTAGTAGGTTTATCTTGCCATCTGGAAGATGGATAGATTGTGAAAGGGAGAAGAACGACTCTTTGCTGAATTCTCCTCTGAATATTGTCTTGCAAAGCCTTATCCCATCTTCCAAAACTGCCAGCATTACCTTTCTCATCTGAGTTTCCCTTCCTTATTTATTGCTGTCACCTGAAATCTTAACAGAAAAAATTCCTGTAAAAGAATGTAAGTTATATGAATCTTATTGTCTTTTGACAGTCATCCTAAACGCTTAAAAGAGGTGGGTTTTTTTCCTTTCTCTTGTTTGCTGGAAATTGCCCTGGCTTTGTTGCCACAAAAATAAGTGGTACCAGATGTCTCAGCATCCACATGGAGCTGTGAGAACATCCCATCCAAGGGCAGTCCAGAGGCTGGGTGGAGGCTGGGAGCTGAGCAAGGGTAAAAGAGGCAAAACAAGGTTACTTCAGGTAACACGAGGTGAAACCACAGATCTTACAGAAACAGCAGCTCATTTGTGGTAGCTCTGTTTTGGGACACCACAGATGTGGTGAGAAGCCCCAGCCCAAACTCAGCACAGCAGCGAAAACCAGGTTTTTCCTACTCCAGGTAGGGCAGCAAACAGCACCAGCTAGTTTTTTTTTCTTCCTGTTTGTGTCATTGCTTGTCTGGCAACAGTAACATGAAATGGCTCAGGAGGTGCTGTGAGGCACAAGCAATGTCTATTTGTAAAGCACTCCAAGGCACTTGAGTGGCAGGAAAGCATCACCCCTGACTACCAGAGCTGAGATCTGCACAACAGCCTGGCTCTGGAAGCAGGAATTTCTGTATAATGATATGCCAGTAGTAACTCATTACATATCAGGGCAGCTCTCTCTTCAAAAAAAAAAAAAAAAAAAAAAAAAAAAAAAAAAAAAAAAAAAAGAAAAGAAAGAAAAGGAAAAAAAAGTTTATAAACAACTTTTCTGATTCCTCTTTGTCTGAGCTCAGGCATTTTTGGAAGCAGGTGCAAAAACTGAGTTTGTCTAAATTTTGAGCGAAACGTCTTTGTGTCCTGTTCTCAAGTCCCTTCAGAACAGCAGCACCTTTTTTAAAGCACCACATATTGCACCAGAAATACTCATCAGAAAGAGCTCTTCAGTTTATCCCAGCACTCAGCGCCTCCTCCTTCTGTATTTTTCTGCTCCACAAAGGATATCTCCAAGTGGGCACAAAGCCCACCCAAATCCACATTAAGACTCTTTCAAGAAAGCAAACTCACTGCCCTGGCCTTTCTGTGAGTGCAGTTTAGCATGTCTTTATTGTAAGTAGCTGGCATAGAGAAAATTAGAATTAGTCTTTCTTTGTATGATAAAATTATGATAAAGCTCAGTAGGACTGAAATGAGTTTCTGCATTTCTTCAAGTCAGGACTCTGGAAGAACAAACTAAAGTGCTTTGGGAAATTCCAGCTCTTGGAAGCTAAGATCAATATCACAGTTTAAGAAAATAGAATTCACATATTCTAATGTTTAATTTCAGTATTTCCTAAGAGTATCTGCATTAAAAATTAGACAAAAAAATTACTACAATTAAAGGAAAATAGAATAAGAGCTCTTTTCATATATCTTATGCCATTTGGCTTTTCTTTTTAAATATTAAAAAAGCCCCTGAACCTCAATTTTCTCGTATGGCAGAATCACTATAGCAGAGTTTTATTATTAGGGGATTACAATATTTTTTTTTGTGAAGTTGTGGGAGTTCTCTTTTATGAAACCCTTGTCATTTATTTTAGAGGACAGAACTTCGTGTAAGTTGGACATTTAGTCCATCTGTATTGGACTAAAACACCACATCTGTGAGGCAATGTGCCACATTTCTGTGCATACACAGTTTTCTGTCCTCTTTAAATCTGTTCTATGTGTGTAAACACTTAATACTTCACATACATGCACATATATATGTGGATGGATAGGAAAATAAACTCTTAACATTTCACAAAATTGTCTTTTTGGGTAATTAAGCAAAGCCATTCACTGTTTAGTAGGTTGGTTTCGTAACACACCAGTTTGTAGTGGGTTAGAACATGCCAATTAAAGAGACAAACAAACATAATTCTGCCTCATAAATTGACTAATTACTATGAAAACTTTGCAATTTGGAAAGTCTGAGCTGTTCTACCACAGACAGTATGTAAGGAAAGCAATATTCCCATTTGAATTGAAGCCTCCCATGCCCCAGGCAGGAATGTGTCTATATTAACTGCAGCTCTGCTTTGAGTTTAGGGCAAATGCCAGCTACATATTTACCAAAACATTTAAAGTAGTGAGCACATGTGTTGTGTTCTGAGAGTTTGAATGTAACTTGAGTCATGCTGTGTCTCCAGTATTTTAGAGGAAGAGAGGAGAGAGGGGAAAAGGTCAGTCCCCAGGACTGCTGACAAGGACACTTGCTGGATATAACAAGGAGAAAGCAAGATTAGAGAGCCTGCTCCAAAACACATCCTAGTATTTTATAAGTTCAGCAAAATAATGTTTGGCGTCTCCACATTCCACAGCTTACTGAGGAATTTGAACTCTTGCACAAAGACCAAAATTTGCACTGAGGCCGAGAGCCCTGGGTGAAAGCACGGTGTCCCCTGGGCAAGCAAGAACAGCCCTAAGGGGCAGAGAGACTTGGCACATCCCAGAGTTACTCCCATTTACTTCCCATCCTGATTGCTGCCACTCAAGGATCCACTTACCTCTTCCTGCAAGTCTTCCAGGCAGTCCCAGAGCCAAGCTTAACATCGGGGCCAAAATCCACAGGCCCTGTCACGCTGAGCCTGCCAGCGGTCAGATGACACCCTTCTGAAAAGGTCACCTGCTTGTCTTTATCCACAGGCTGATCTCTGCCTGTCTTTGGCTTGTCACCCTGCCCCTGCAGCTTCCCTCTTTGCTCCTGCATTTTGGATCAGGCTCTCCATGGAAGCGGTGGAGTCACCATCCCCGGAAGGGCTCAAAAAATGTGGCACTTCACAATATGGCTTAGTGGGCTGGGGGGTATTTGTTCAAAGATTGGACTTGATGATCTTGGAGGTCTGTTCCAACCTGAATGTTTAATGATTCCATGATCACCTGCCCCCTAATTCCCACGTTATCCACAAATCCAGGCAAGCAGAGCTCTTTTCACTCCACAAACTAATGATATTCAAATTTCCTGGACGTACTGCTGAAAATCCCTTCCTATGCACACCTGAGCTCCTTGAGGACCCAGAACAAACTTCTGAAGCATTTCTTTTGTCTTAAATCCTGTCTGCACATGAGGAAGATGGAAGTGCCAGCTTGACAAGTGGCACTGCAAGGTGCAAGGTGTCTCTGCCACCCTGGGGGTACCTGGGGCAATAGCAAACAGCAACAGCAAAATCAATCACTCTCTTACAGCAATAGCAGCTATTTCCACCACTGTGACCCAGGGTGAATGTCTGGGTGGGTTTCTCCACTCTCACTCTGCTGGGAAAAAAAAAATCAGTAAGTCTTTGTCTCTTAATTTTAAATGTTGAGCCACTATTTGCCTTCCAGCTTGGCTTCTTTAGAGGACAGTGGGATCATTTGTTTTCCCTAAACTTTAAGTTAGCTTATTTTCCCATATAGTCACACAATCCCAGATCCCATGGACTTTAAGAAAAATTATATATATATATATAAAAATTATATATATATATATATAAAAATTTCTATTTATATCCTGAAACTTGTGTTGGCATCACTGGCCCTTGGAATACCTGGACTCCTTCATGTGAGGACAAAGCTTTATGGACCTCAACTTGGATTCTGCTCCAAACACAACTCCTCCTTTGTTGGTCACAGAATTGAATAAACACAGTTCCATAGAATTCACCATGTCCTTTTTTTTCACTGAAGGGAGCTGAGTCTGTTCACAAATGAGATCTTGGCTCTTCCAATCATTCCACCAAAAGCTTAAATGCAGTCTGTGCCATGGGGAAAATACTGGGAAAGATTGGAGACCTCTGCTCTGGTTATATCTGGACACCAGCTGGCAGACCTCATCATCCTTGGGATAGCAACATAACAGGAAGACTAAGCATGCATTTTCCATCACAAATGCCATTGGGAGCATCAGAACAGAGCCTCTGATAACAAACTAAATAGCAATAGCACCACATGAGTCACAAAACAGCTAAGGAGAAAAGACTATGAGAGAGAGATATCCAGAGAAGAACTTGATTAAGAGCTAGAAGTGGCTACTGGTCCCTTAGGAGAATAAAAAGTTGTTATGTGAGAGGTTTAAACTCTCTGTGCATCTTCCAAATTCAGCTGATCAGCAACATCTGCTCTCCATTTTGAGAAGCACCAATGGAATTATGTGTGTCTATAAGGAAATCATTCCAGAGCAACGGATGATGTATTAGATGGTGATATAAGGAGACAAAAATCAGCATAAACTGTTTGGTTAAAATAAGTGTTCCTCTTTTCAATCCTTATAGTTCTTACCACTTGCTCCATTCTGCTTTTACTGACGTGGGTAAACCTGAGCTGATAGTTTGACAATGATTCCCGGTGTAAATCTCTTCTGGAGCTGATTTCAGAATTTCCAGCCCATGGCTGGAGCTAAAGCAGTTTATGGAGGGAAGGATGCCTTGCTAAGCACTGTTAAAACTCCTGTAGACCTGAGGATGGTCACATCCAAAATCTCACTGAGCCAGAAAGACCAGGCTTGCACCTGCCCTGCTCCAACGCTCCCAGGAGGGAGGAAGGCATCCTTACAGGAGCCAGCAGCAGCCCACAGCTGATACATCTCCTGAATCCACTTCCAAAGCACCAATAAGAAGTCATTTTTGGCTGGGATAGAGTGAGTTTTCCTCCTAGTAGCTGGTACAGTGCCATGTTTCGGATTTAGGATGAGAATAGTGTTGCCAACACACCAATGTTCTAGTTGTTGCCAAGCACTGAATCAAGGATTTTTCAGCTTGCCATGCTCTGTCAGAAGTCAGGTGGACAAAAAGCTGGGAGGGAGCATAGCCAGAACAGCTGCCCCGAGCTGCCAAAAGGATATTCCACACCACAGAACATCATGCTCAGTGTATAAACTGGGGGGAGCTGGCTGGGAGCTGCTGATTGCTGCCTGGGACAGGCTGGGCATCGCTCAGTGGGTGGTGAGTGACTGTGCAGAGCATCCATCACTTGTTTTCCTTGGGCTTTATTTCTCTCTCTCTTTTTCCTACCTCCCTTTCCATTACTGTTATTGCTGCTATTGCTATTAATACTGGGATTATATTTCACTTTATTCTGATTATTAAACTGCTCTTATCTCAATGTGTGGGTTTTACCTCTTTTTTTCCTCGAATTCTCCTCCCCATCCCACCGGCAGGGAGGAATGAATGAACATCTGTGTGCTACTGAGTTGCTGGCTGGGGTTAAAACCATGACATAAGGAAACACACAGTGCCCTGGCAGAAAGCCCAGGCTGGGCTGGCTTCTCCAGGCCACTGGAATTACTTCCTTGGGATTTATACCATCAACACCAACACGTCACAGAGGAGGAAATGCACAGACAAGTTTCCAAGGACAAGGTCACCCTACTTGCCAGTAGCAAAGGCAGAAATGGGAACAACACTCTTATCCCAACACCATAGTTATTCCGAATATCTTTATTTTATGAGTGTCATTAGGACACTGCTGGGGAAAAAAAATTATGACAGTTAAAAGGAAACAACTACTGGAATATAAAGAGAAGATACGGAACGAAGTTTTCAGAAAGTTACAAATAAATGACAAGTTTAACCATGGGTGAAAGAGGAGCCTGGGCAAGAACTGATCACACCTCTGAGACCAGCATCAGTATGAAAGAAAAATCTGCAGGAAAGGAAATTTTACGTGGATGACTCGTGTGGTGCTCATTTCAGGCAGGGGGAATGACAGGTTGCTCTGAGAACCTGTCATTTTTCATGGCATGGCTGCAGCTCAGCAGGAGAGCCCAGGCCTCTGGAGAGCTTGGGGGGTTCTGAATGAAGGATTTCTTGCTTTCCCAATCCACAACAGAGCCCAAAGACCCTCAGCATAACCTCTGGTGTCTGTTTGAGTATTGTGAAGTGAAAGTCAGGAGTGATTATTAAGCGCAGCCACGAATGCACAGCTGAAATCAGCCAACCAGGGGCAATAAATCTGCAGTAAATAAAAGAAGTAGAGCCAAGAGACAGGGAAAGGGGCACCTTTTCCTCCCCTGACCTCAGGAGGAGGTCAAAGGCTGGTGCAATTCTCTTTGAAGTTATGAGGAACAGCTATGTGTTGTTAGTGAGCCCCCATGACTCCTTTATTTCTAACTCAGCCCTCAATTTAAGTGAGAATAAAGACATATAAGGAAACCAAAAAAGACTTTTCAGTGGCTTTTTGGACTTTTTTTTTTTTAGGTTATCCAGGATGCTTCAAATGCTGTTCAAATGAGTGCAGGAAGTAGCAGAAAGACAGCCACTCACGGAGAATGAAAAAGTTAATGGCAGGAGAAAATGAATTATAATGAATGCAAAGCATCCACATGACTGGAAAGCCCTTAAGTGTAAAGGATTAATAATTACCAACAAATAAGTAGTAAGGGGGAAAATCTCCTCTGTGACCTGGAGTGTTCAGTCCTCCCCTTCCATCCCTCCTCCACATATTTACAGCTGAATTGACTGATTACTGTCTTCTCTGTTAAGAAACTGGGAGTAAGGGAAGAGGAAGGGTAGTGCTTAAGAGTTTGGATCAAGGACTGCTGGTCTAGACAGTCACCCTTTCTTATCTGTAGTTTGGTTAATATCCAACCAGTGAATAAACAAAGCCATGCGCCTGGTAGGGATTTTTATTTGATGTTTTTAATTGATGAGGGAATCATTAGCAAGTGTCTGCCTTTCCAAGGCCTCTCTTACCTGCAAAGCCACTTTTGGATTGTGATAAGGATGCATTTGTGTATCTTGCTTAACAAAATGCCTCCTGCACCCACCTCTTGGGTGGTCAAAGGTACTAAACAGCCCCCAGGCTGGCGATGCTTTAAATACCTGTTTCTGAAGGACAGAGCAATCTACCACAGGAGAGGTTCTGACAAACAGCCCATTGCCCTTTCTTCCAACCTTCGAAGGAGAACAGGCAGAAGGATGCTGAGATTCTATTTGGTGCATTGATAGAAGAACACAGTCTGGTTTTGTAAAGGTTTCACTGGCTGATGTGCTTTATATTGCTTTGCTAATTCACTTTTCACTTTGAAAGGCGGGAAGGGGAACTTCACCACCAGTGTTTTACAGAAGAGCTGGGGTTAAGAGGTGTTAGTGACCAACTATTGAACTGCTTTGTTTGTGTGGCATCAGACAGCTTATATAAGATAGAGCTCCATTTTCTTTAAAATCCACATAGTTTCACATATTCCTAAAATACGATCTAAATTCAAGTTTATAATTAACAAACAAACCCCTTCCTAAATGAGAAAAAAACCATAAAACATTGTCCCAGCGAGTAAATGACTCCTGGGGTTCTTTATCCACACAGTTCTTACTGATCTCCTTTCTTATTGCTTCTTATCCTTCCAAAATAAGTCAAGATTTTCATATGTTTTGTGGTTTCATGAGCCTTCTTTCCCTCTCCAGAATCTGATTTTTTCTTTTTTACCAGCTCCGTAAATGGAAATTTCCTTTCTCCAGTTTTCTTGTCTTTGGCCATGGAAGCCAGCACCTAAGCACACTATGTCTTAGCAAAAATTCCCTGTAATAGGATGTTTTGCAACTTCCAAAGGCTTCCAGGAACAGCCAGTTAAACGTGAGGACGTGTTTATTGCTCCCTAATAACATATAAACTGCTTAAAGTGACATAATTCTTTATAGAAGCCAGTTCATATATGAAGTATCAGGATGTCCCATGGATTTTCTCCCAATTCAGAGTTTCTTTTAGTTCCACTCAACAAATATCAAGCACTAAAGCCACCAAGGCAATAGCTTAGTCTATATTTCATTGCCTGCATTAGAGCAAATGTTCAGTGTAGTCTATAACCAAAGCAAACTTCATCCTCTGGCCAATAATTATCATGACAAGGAAAATATTCAGGAGGATTTTCTAAGATGTGTTAAAGACACAGAGTTAAATTTTAAATGAAGGTTATAGAAATGCAAGACTTCATTAAGGCTAAAGAAAAAAAAAACAGATGAGACAAAATAGGATCTTTGCTTTTGGAACCTGAAAGTTAAAAAAGACTCCAAAAAGCTTAAAAAAAATGGAAAAAAACCCCTAGCACTTTACATCATGCTCTAACATGCATTTTTTTTCCTGAAATAGCAAAGTAAATTGAATGTTTTCAATCAAGAGTAAGAACCATTCATGATCTCCTAGAATTCCTTTTGTACACTTGTGGTTCCATCCTTTACAATGCATGAGATTGAAGTGCTAAACTAATTCTCCCCAGAGAAAAAAAGAAGCACGCAAGCCGAAACAAGGCTCTTTTCCTAGTTAA